CTTATTTGGTATGGCATGTAGTCATTCTATCCGCAAATATTTACAAGATAAACACGCCCAAGTAATACTATGTATCTCGGCGTAAAAACGGAATTTGTAGCGATAAGAGTGATAGGCATGTTTGCGTAATTTTAGGAAATGGTTTATGTTTACAGGATGTTTCAAAAGCCACATACGGTTTTCAGCTAACTCGAGAGCGATCCATCTTTAACAGGAAGTTACTTTGCACACACCAATTATACAGGGTGGTTTACCAGCATTTTTTACGTGGTGAGAAGGTCAATTGGTCATAAAATACCGAGTGGTTCTAAAAATGGGGATGGATGCGTTTCTTTTATGATCTCAATGTCATCAGGTTTCATTTAAATTAATTGTTTGTCATGCCGCTTTAATTTGCCAGTGCCATAAGTTTTTTGCATTTAATCAATTAAAAAAAAGATTACACTGAAAGGTGATTTAAAACAGTTGTTAGGAGCTGCGAACATATCAATGGCACATAAATTACACTTCTTTAACGAATTGTTAGAAAACCGTTTATGGGCTCTATTTAAAGCGTAGTCTCATTATCGCAAACAATAGTGTACATAAAACTAAATCTATCAGAAATTCTCAGGTAGAAATCCGCTGATTACTTTCTATTCTATCACTCATTAGGGGGTTAATTGTAAAGTGATTGATAATTCCATGGGTTAACATTCAAAACGTTAATGTTTTTCTTTACAGAAAGCTCGCCCCTCACTTAGCAAATGAAAAAGCCTGCCCCAATTAAATTTTATAACTTTGGTTGTGTCGCTAATTAATGAAGAGGGGAGAAATTTTGGGCTTTAATAAGATTAAACACAGTTTAATGATTAATGGTTACCTTTATTTTTTGGTTTTTGCACCATATTTTATGTTTATTATACCGTTTTCCTGATATCTTCTTGAATTTGGCCCTCTTTGTTTGTTTTGCAAAGTTTTAAATGATCATTTCGGCGTCGCCGTTTTGAACGAGGACTTTTAACATTGAAATTGCTGTAGCTGATTACAGAAGTACAGAAAATAGCGTAGATATATACCGCAGGGCTAGTGCGTCCTAATCCCTTGGGTGTTTATTGCCCACAAATACGTTTCGGGCAACAATCTACACCCTCGAGATTAAAACACACATTTTAGTCCCTTGGTATATAGGTAGAATATACTATTTTAAGTTTTTAGTTCGTGTTGACATTCCTCCGCGCCTGCCGGTATATTGAAAAAAATCGACACTTCCAAATTCAACCCAAAAGTGGAAAACAATTAGTGCATTTTTTTAGATAAAGTGCGGGAAAATGGCAGAAGTAATTACCTAGTAAAAGGTCGAATTGCCAATGTCGATACAGGAGTAGAGTTTCGACAATTCGAAATCCACCATGACTCGTTAAAGGGCGATATGGGCAGGGGCGGACTGGCAGGGCGGACTGGCAGGGGGGGGGCGGGTGGCGATTGCCACCTAGCCTGTAGATCATAATGGCCCGTTGGAAATTTATAAGTATGTGCTGTATTTAGTTTCTTGCACTATTAATAAATTATTAACACGTTTCTCTAATTGGGGTTGATGTTAGGTTGTTAAAAAATTAAAAAATTCTGTTTTAATTGAAGTGTTTTACAATGAATTTATCATTTTTTGTCGTAGTATGAAAGTGCTGAAATACAATGATAGGCGACGCACCTCGTGTGGATTGTATATTTTGTTACTTTTAATTATCACCTGCAATTTTTAAAAAAACTTTATGGTAATTTATTTTCGAGAAAGGAGTACTTGTACTACAATGTTTTTGTGGTGCACCTCAGAGCTAACCCCCCCCCCCCCCCCCGCCACCATCATTACTACACTAATACTTTAATGGCCCATACCATTTCGATTGGATTATACTCGCAGTGATATGGAGGAAGTCTCAAAACACTGCAAATCTAACGAAAATCGTTTGACGGATTGATATTATTGACAGATCAATAATTGGTTTATTTGTCACGACTTACGTTAATGACGTAATTTTTTTGTCTCAATCGATTTAAATGTAATTAAGAGAGAATCGCATTTATGACGTCAGGTTCAGCACCAGTGAAACAAAGTATACATATATCATACGAATTGTAGCTGATAGTCACCAAAAGTTTTTGGTGAAAGAATTTTAGTGATAGGTCTTACCGTTTTCGAGTAAATGATATTTCTATATGCAGCTCGTGCGCGCCCGTGGTCCGTCTAGCAGCGCACTTGCTTGGCTGCTATCGGCGCCGGCCGGATAGCGGGCTTGCCACCTGTAGTGGAGCGAAATCATGCCAAAAACTATAATGCCAAATGGAAAGCGGAGCTGTTCTGCATATTATATTGAAAACATAATGTAACTACATTATCAGAAAAAAATACGAAAGTCGATAAATCAATTATTGTGCGACATAAACTTCACTCTGCGGGAAATTTTTTTGAATTATTGTTGGCAGTACTTCTAGTGTTACAGTTTCTGTGCGCACAGTAACATGGACAGGTATCCAAATATTACTTTATATGGACCATCCAACATCTTCGATGTTGTCGAGTGTTGGTTTGCATTGTTTCCTGCGGTACCACACGTTTAATCGGTAAAAGTATGTGTTACGGTGAAAGTAATTATAATGTCATTGTGATAAAATTAGGGTTCCTTTCCTGTCTAAACTTTAGGGGAAGGGAAACTACTGCCATTTAGGAAACTGCGAAGATATTGAATTTAAAAAAAATCATTCTGGAGACTGTTCAACAAAGCGCTTACTATTTGGCATTATAGAACTGAAACAATTATAACAATATCTCGTGCGGGAGCGGAGATATTCCGGGGTAAATCTCTAAAAACATAAATTTTTATGAAGACACTTTTGAGTGGTTTTTTTTACTATAAAAAATGTCATGACCACCGGAAAATGTCGTAAAACACCATTTCGGATGCAGAATTACAATATCTACATACTCTACTGGGTCTGATCTTGTTATACCTCGAAAAAAAATTTTGTCACATTTTTGGCCCGATTTCGCTCCACTATTAGGAAGTGACTTCTATTGCTCCCATGTGCAAGTCGGTCATGGATCTAGAGGTCTATATTAATGACAAGTTATTTTAAAGTTTCAAGCGAATATAGACGAGCGAGAAACAAAAGGACGGACAGAAAGTTCGAATGACCGAAATTTAATCAGTTAGTTCCTTGACCATTGTCTATCCATTACTGAAAACAGAATTGGAAAATTCGAATGTTCGCGAATTATCATGTACCTACATAGACGTACGGACGGACAGCAAGGCCGAAATCATGAACAAGCTGGGTCGCTCCTTAATAATTACAACTGACAAAATTGCGTTGCTTTTAAATTTAATTACTGCAATTTTTTCCCATTTAAAAACGTTTGTTCTAGCTTCATACTTAAAATCCGAAACAACTCAGTGTGAATGGAGTACATCGTATTTTGTTTTAAAAAATTATTATTCGCATGCAGAGCGGAATAATAAAAAATTAATATTGTTCACGACAGTACCACAATCTACTTCCACCAATGATGAATATTTCACCTACGGAAGTGGAATAACGGTATTCGTAGCTCGGTGGGTGGCGTGATTTAAAGCATACTGAGAAGAAAGTCGGCTACGCGGCATAAATAAACTGTAATTTAATCAAATTCAGTATGTACATTTGAGCTGAAATGATAAAAAAAATGCCACCCGATGAACACGTTTCTTGAGACCACATACAAATTAACAACAAATACACAAAACAGCTACCCAAATATGGAAATTGGCCTTCGTTCCACTTTAATGTTTAACGATATACCAATAAATCAGCAGCAAACAAAGGGGTGTAAATATAGCATTTACAGCGAATTGCCGGCTAATAAACAATTATTTGACTTCTTAGCATGTGCTGAAATGAATGGTACAATTGATTGAGAAGAATCAAATGACGCTAAATAAATATGACATTAATTGATTAAATTGCTTTATATTAACTTCCCTCGATTTGTTACAGCATATTAACCGCGAACGTGCTTTTCGAACGGCACCGAGTAATCCATTTGGGCGAAACAATGCGACGTCAGGAAGTACACGAAAAATATCTTTCAGAAGTAGGGCAACTTTCGATCTTGTTAACAGTTCGGCTACAGCATGTTTGTTCACTTTATTTGGGAGGAAAACGAAAGCGCAATGCGTAGCTAAATTAATTTCATAAAAATCTTCTCCGGCAACTTAATTGAATAATTTGGAAGAATGGAATTTAGTTGCTTTTTCTTGTAGAATCAATCAAAAATGTAATTAAGTTAGGACAATGCACCGTAAACTGCTCATTTGTTCCAACCAGATGCGACGCATAAACGGAGTTCTTCACCCCGTCACGAAAAATCGAGTCCAGATTTAGAAACGTACCGTATAACATTCTAAAAACTTTCGATGGGCTTCTTTGCAAAAAATTTTAAATAGAAACATCCCATTTTCTCAAAGCTCCCTTCTATTAGGTAAGTTCAAAAAACACCTACTGTGTCAAAATAGATCCAAATTGTACGTAAAAAAACGTAACAATTGTGATATATCAGATATTAAAAGCTAATGCCTTATAGTTACAAAATTCCCCACTGACTAAAACAATAAAAACGGCAGATCGTAAACGTTTCACGCAGTAGAAACAGTTAAAGTGGTTAAATTAAAGTCACATCCTTACTGCCCATTGTTAGAAAAGCAATAATAAGCTTTAGAATTGAATTTATCGCAGTAATAAAATAAGTTGTATATGTTTTAGTGAATAACGAATAGAAAAAACTGCACGAAATTAAGATTAATTCAAAAAAGTTAATGTACTCTAGGCTAGTCAACTAATTGCATAACGGCGAAGATTGCTATATATGGAAAGTAATTATTTCATCCATGCCCACATGCAAATAAAATGTACAGTCACTGACACAATTACAGCTCTCCGATAGCTGAAGTTCAGTTCCGTTCAAAAATGTAATAAAGGAATACGCTATTTAAATAAATCGTGTACTGTAGACGACATTTAGAAAAGTAAAAAAAAAGGATCCTACCTTTCTGACGTAGGACGCAGCGGGATGATGTTTCGGCGGCATGAAGAACAACCTGATCCTATCGAAGAATTGTATTCCGTTGGTGGAGGCGACTCCCATGTAAAGGAATACTCCAAATAATACTGACATCGGGACCAATCGAAGAAGGGGTGACATCAATACAGAAACACCGATGAGTAGGGAAACGACGAACGCGGACACTCGCTGTTCCTTAACTTCTATGATGTGCGGCTTTTCGCCAGGCGCGTGCGTCCTGGACATGACGGTAACGGCTTGGACGTGAGCGACGGATCGGACGGTCGCGACGCACACCCATGGAGCGCCGATGAAGCCGCATCCGACGTTTAGTAGACAAATTAATACTATGTCTAGGTGGAAACCGCTGCCTTTCTTTAGCTTTCGTTCTGGCTTGTCGATGATTAATCTGAAACAAAAAGTATAAATGAAATTTTCGTCAACATTTGTGATTATTATTATACATCATATCCGGAGAAAGAATCGGTCCATGGTATTCCCTACCTGTCGTAAAACGCGACTAAAATGAAACCGAATGACTCCAGGGATAAGGAATCAACCCCCATCAAGTGCCAACGGCTTCATCGCGGAAAAGCAGTTTGGAGAAGGGCATCATCTTGTCTTTGTAGAGAAACCTCTCCAAAAGAGGGATGAACAACTAAAGTCAACGGCATAGCATGCATAAAGCAACTGGAAACCACTGGATTAAAGATCTATAGTTGACGGTGACAGAAACGAGAAACGAATACGCATATTAAGAAGAAAGAGAGGAGTACGATTAGATTAGGGGCGTGGAATGTTAGAACCTTTCCTCAAGGCGAAAAACTAGAAAACCTAAAAAGATAAATGCGAAGAACTAATTTGGACCTTATTGATGCCAGTGAAGTGAGATAGAGCGGACGTGCAGTAGAAAAAAGCAGAACATTTCACCTGCTATTTACAGTGGTGATAAAAAGAGTAAGAAAAGGAGTGGGGTTTATGGCGAATAAAAGGTGTACTAGCTGTAGTCAAGCCCGTTCGATTTATGTGCGGGATTAATCCCGCAAAAATCCTGAGGGCAGAGGGATCCCGGTATACAATTTATTATCGTTGTCAGGGATTAAGGTAAAGGTCCACCTTATAAGAAATTGTACCTATTGGTTTTTGTCTCAAAATTAAAACTCGCTTTTTATCCGAAGCTGCGGAAAAATAAGTTCAAGAAGCTCTCGAATAGACGTTGGAGTGGATTATCTTTTATGATCGTCTAAAGTAGGGTAGATTTGATTGGTCTTTTGTCTGCTCCCAAAACAAAGTCTTTTAAGAACATGTAAGTACGATCACAAAGCCTTTATTTATTGTATTCATTAAACAATTTGTCGGAGGAACTACTTCAATCCCAAGCATACTTCACACTAACATGTATCACTGCGATTGGATTGAAATTTGTTGTTAATTTGCACTTTTCTAAAGAACAATGAGTTCACGTGTCCTGATTTCTACGTAATGTTTATTGCGAGAACCGGGAACGCTCTTATTACATTATCTATTAGCTTTTATTGCAGAAGTCAAGTATATTCACTATTAGTGAATCCGCTCTTTTTATACAAAATTTACTATAAGAACGAATTTATCATTTTTGGTAAAAATTGAAGCTTAAATACAGGGACCACAACCAAATGTTTTCCTGAAAACTACGCATCCCAATAACTTCAAGATTAACATTTCTTTTTTAGTGTACTTTTTCCTATCTTGTACAATTTCGTGAAATTCCTGCATCAAGATTTTAGTGTGTCCTTTTGCGTAGAAATCAAGAACGAAGTAAATTTTTATCAAACACAAGAAAGTGTATGTACTACTACAATATTAGCTAACAATTAGAGTGCCCATAATAAATTCCCACCTTTTTATCTGATGATACAATAGATATTTCTCCTATATCAATGAACTAAAGCGGCATTAGCACCTCAAATAGTAGATAGTCTATCTTATCTTATTTTATTTTTGTATGTGCGTCCAGAAGATAAGATCGAGTCCAAATAGATAAAGAAAGCTTTCTTTTACTGCTGTATTATAAATTACCTTAGAGAAATGGTGTTCTTTCATAGGTTCAAAATCAAAGCTAAAGTCAAAATGTTTCCAAACACCTGATGATTAATTTTGAACCGTGATTTGATACATAGATGGTCTTGAAGGTAATTAAATATCATAAAAAAGCAAAACCTCTTTACATGACTGTGTGACAAAAATTGACAACGTCGCCTTTATTTGTACCGACCGCCTTTGAAGATTTAAAGTTGGTAACACTTTGAAAGTAGGATCTTTCAACTCTTATTCTGCTTATTAAGTCAAACAAAACCACCCAGTAATAATAAACCATCCACTTTGCAACAGTAAAGCTATCACTATTAGGGACAACAGAAAGAGAAAGTACACACACTCACAAATTCTGCCCAAGCTCTGTGGATTTGGGTACATTCAATTGCCGATTTTTCTAAATTTGACAAAATGTGCGAATAGGTTTCAGCCAGTTATAATGTTAAAATGGCCATTTTCTTCGCCTGCTATAAGAATTGTTCATTAAAAGCTCTGTGCAAATGATGGACTAAATTCATCCATCCAGGTGCTCGATGAAGATCCTGAAAATGGAGTGCCCAGTGCCCAAATGGGAACGGTGTCCCTTCCGCAAAAGTTCTTTGAAGCAGATGGCGCAGCTAAGCTGAATCTTTTATGCTGGACCAAGACTTGGACGATTCTGCTCCCTATGTGTTCCCGTCCGGGAAGATAACAATGGACGCAAAAAGGAAGTAAAAACTGTAAATTAACTCATAATTTGAAGTAAGCAAATCAAATTGGACCTCCCTCCACAATCAACTCACACGAGCTCTCTAATTTTGCTAATGTGGAGTAGCCCACTCCGCCCACTACACACAAAAATAAGTAAGCATAGTGGAGAAAAACTTACTCTGTAATATGCGTTTCCATGAACAGTAAAATGTAAACGAGCAGAGCCGGAACGCCTGCAGCGAAGGCAACCCACAATTCGATCGGTTGTAGCGTGCCTTTAGGGTCGACTAACCACCCGCGCACTTCTGGATTGGACGGAGTAAAACCTTTCGGAACGGTAAGCCTCTGCGTGTGAGTATTGGGAACGAAGTAATTGAGCGAAGCCATTATTACTATAGCGATCGGAACGCCAAAATCGCCCAGCGCTCTTCTAGCCTGTAAATTGATCTCTCATAATTGCACAACGCGATAAATACTTACATTGCGACCCAAAAACTGACTATTTCGAAACAGTAGCAGATAGTAGGCGATGGCAAACGTCCCCAATGATAAGATGGTACATAGCAGCGCGGTGTTTGGTTGGTTGAGGGGTCCAATAGAGTCATACAATGGCACGGATGGAGGAACTGATGAATTCTTGATGATAGCAGTAAGCTCACTTACATTTCTTGCAAAGAGGTTATCTGTTGTCGAGTTATACACGGTCTCGTTTAACTCCTGCATTAGATTGTTTAGGTTGTAGTAAGTCCCACGTAGAGGATGACGAGTGAACACCAATACTAAATTCATCACGCTCTCCACAATGTACAATAGAGAAATAAGAGCCGAAAAAATTTCCTCTGTGAACCTCGAAAACCACTTCACAAAGACGCTACCCTCAACAGAAGCAACCAGCAACGCAATTACTCCCAGCCATATGCCAATATAAAATCGAATTGTTAAGTAATCAATGCCGCTGCTCTTGCAAAACTGATACAAACTCTCGTCGAACAGCAGTAGAGGTCCAGTAGTTCCGACAATCACAAGCGGCTGTCCACCCAGAAGAGCGAAGATTAGTCCGGCGACCGAAGTTGCCACAAGAGTTTCTGATACTCCGATGAGATTCTGTGTTTTATCACTCATTAGACCACCAAAGGTTATGGCACCGGAAAGCGCCGCGAAATACATAAACAGAGCAGCTGCCGCGCATTGGGGATTCAACCCGCTTTTAAGATCAGACAAATAAAACGGGTACCTCCTTTTCAGGTCGTTAATCAGACCGCCGAAAGGTCTTCGAGTTCTCTCCAACGGATTCGGAAATGGGGGCTTCTTACCGCCATCGTCGCTTACCAACATCGGTTTCGCTACCTCGCCCACGGCCTTCTTTAAGGCGTCCTCTTTGCGTTTACGTATGCGCTCGCTTTTCGCTTTGATTTCTTCGATTGGAAGAAGCGCCTGCCGTTCCCAATCGCCCGGCGGCAATACGATCGAGTCGTCCAAAAACTCGTTAATCGCCGACAGGAGCGCCTTACGATTGTACGCCTCGTAGGCGATATTATGAAACTCGTGGTTCGCCATCAGAGTCGATATCGACCGCCCTACCTCGTGATAGTCGAGGTTGGCTCCCTTCGGACCTAGCAGTATGAAGATGAAACGCACTGGGATGTTAACTTCGATCAGTGATGGTATGTAGACTGCTTCGGCTAAACGGATAAAGGCGATGGCGGGTTGCTCCAAAAAATCAACGTCCCCGACGAGCACGCTGGTGCTTTGGGCGTCGGAAGGAATTCGCTTGAGGATGGGATCGTTCTGGGCTTTCTTCATATCTTCGCTGCTGATGGTGTACATTTCCTCTTTCATGTCTATGGACGTGTGATTATTTGGTAACAAATGCCCTTCGGACTCTACGTTTCGTCCAATCTTTTTGGAGCCGAAAGGGACGTCGATTTGATAGCTGGCTTTTCGCTTCTCCGCGTCGGAAAGGTTCTAGAATGAGACATTTTATATTAACTCAGTTGGGAGTAGAATAAGTGCTTCGCTGCGATACAGTCCCTAATTGGACTTAGCGGTTATTTAAATCAAAACGTGCAAAGATTAAAAACACAGACACAAAATGTGCATAATAGCGTGGAAAAACAAGTGTTGGTAAAGCGATAAATAGTGAGAGAAAAAACTACACGATACATATTTAATGAGACTACGGATTTGTCTAAAAAGCTTATTCGGAAAACCTGTAGAGCCAAAGTACTTTTTAAAATCAAAAAGAGCGTGCGACAGCAGAAAATGGGGTACGCCGTCACAACTCGAGCAGGTAATGAATTTATGGAAAATTGGCGAGCTTTATTAAAAGCACAGAGCGGTTTCGTTGTCCTAATACCGTCCTCGTAAAAACGAGAAATTATAACAATGAATTCTTTTCCCTTAACGTTCCCATCTTAATATTAAAAACAATACTGCAAAATAGGTAAGGGGATGGCATAAAATGAGGTATAATTTATACGACAGTCGTTGAAAACGCTTATGTATCTTCTCTAGTAAATTCATACCGAAAGGGTTTTGCTTACAGTGGATAAACAGAAAGAAAATAAATGGTTTGTTATTATCTGCGCGGAATTTCCTTAAATAATACCGCACTACAAACAAGGCAATAAAAGTTAATCTTGTTAGATAAATTTTCGAAATACCGCTTTTCTTAAACGTACCCTTCCTTCCTCATTATTGTCTTGATTTATTTGGGTATTAACTGTTTACTTAGCTACTTTCAGTGTTTCTTGAATTTATAGTTAGGAGAGAAGTACCTGAAACTAGGGAATATGAATAGGGACAGCATTTTATGAATGCAAATGACCTAAAAGCATATAGTACCACCACCCCCTATCACAAAACGCAAAAGAGCGTGAACCAACCAGAAATTTGAAAGGAGCCATGGATTCTATTCAATCCTTTCAGCAAGAAAATCTTTTTTTCGAAATTGGTTTCTAGTCTATAACTTTTGATTGAGAAGTCTGATCGAAAAACTACGAATTGATTCTACGCACCCAAATTGATAAGAAAAAGTGTTTTCCCGAGAAATTTTGGTGCAGTCGATTTTTTGTAAAAAAGGAAGGTTAAACACTGCCTTTTTTTGAACCCCGAAATAAAAATTGTTTCAGATCGACCCGGAAAAAATTTTTCTTATAGAATGTGGCCTGTAAAATCCATAATTTCAAACAGTTCCAAGATTGGGCTACTATTTCAAAAGTTACAGCCCTTTGAATTTTCTTTCGAAATTGGTTTCTAGTCGATAACTTTTGATTGAGAAGTCTGATCGAAAAAGTACGAATTGTTTTGGATTCTACGCACCAAAATTAATAAGAAAAAGTGTTTTCCGGAGAAATTTTGGTGCAGTCGATTTTTGGTAAAAAAGGAAGGTTATACACTGCCTTTTTTTGAGCCCCGAAAAAAAAATTGTCTCAGATCGACCCGGAAAAAATTTTTTCTTATAGAATGTGGCCTGTAGAATCCATAATTTCAAACAGTTCCAAGATTGGGCTACTAGTTCAAAAGTTACAGCCCTTTGAATTTTTTTTTGAAATTGGTTTCTAGTCTATAACTTTTGATTGAGAAGTCTGATCGAAAAAGTACGAATTGATTTGGATTCTACGCACCCAAATTAATAAGAAAAAGCGTTTTCCCGAGAAATTATATACACAGGGGCGGACTGGGTACTTACGGGCCATTAAAGTATTAGTGTAGTAATGAAGGTGGCGAGGGGGGGGGGGTTAGCTCTGAGGTGCACCACAAAAACATTTTAAAGCACTCCTTTCTCGAAAATCAATTACCATACAGTTTTTTTCAAATTCATTGTAAAACACTTCAATTAAAACAGAATTTTTTAACAACCTAACATCAACCCCAATTAGAGAAACGTGTTAATAATTTATTAATAGTGCAAGAAACTAAATACAGCACATACTTATAAATTTCCAACGGACCATTATGATCTACAGGCTAGGTGGCAATCGCCACCCGTCCGCCCCTGAAAATTATATATAATTAATCGCTAACAATTTCTGCGCCGTCCGAATGAAATATTGCGCCCTAACAGAAAATAAGCTATATCAAAAACTATATTATCAAATAATGACACAAAATTCAGGGTATCCCAACTAAATTCGCAGTTGGGAAGATTATTGTAACGTAAATTAATTACGTGATTTATTTGTTTACAATTGACTAAAACTAAATTTGTAAGTGTTAAAACGGATTAATTTATAACAGTAATTATTATTTATCACTCACAATTTATTACATAAACCGAGGGCGAGTTTAATACTTCACTTCCGTTTGTATTAATCGTTCATTAAAGTATTATGGAGAGATATTGGTTACTTAATTGATTCGCAAACGATATTAGAACTGTCTAAAGCACAATTCGATTTGCTTATATAGCAAACGACCATACTTCTCGAAAGTTCTCGAATCTTCTCGAAGAAACACGTCATATTTCCCGGAAAGAATGCATCACATCCGCTTTTAGTTTCTTACAGGTGTCTATAAGGACATCTAGAATATTGGCTACAGTATCAGAAAATGGCCTAAAAAGCTTAATTTTGATATGAACAAAACTTTACCATTTTGGCAATACACCACTTCCAAAATTTCATTGTAACGCTTCTAAAAATTTTGAAACGACATCTCTCAAGACACAAGTCTTCATAAGATTTAAAATGTGCACATGGTAATTATACAACGAACTACTATACCAGACGAAACATCACGTATCTCCATTATTCATATTCTATTAAGTTTTGGCTCCCCCTGCAGGCTCTTAATTAGTCACCAGTACAAAAGGCATAATTATGTAATACTTTCAAATATTTAAAATGTGCACAGTGTGAATTTGAAACACTTTATCACCATATCTTGAAACGGCATCTCTTAACTTTCAAAACTTCAAAGAATTTAAAATGTGCACATTGTAATGACATTATATGGAATTGTCAATGTAGTCATCATTTTGGATATTTCTTTGGTCAGACTGTGAGTACTCATTTTTTATTTCTTGAGATTTCTTGAATTCATTTATTCGTTTCGTTCTGTCCGTTCTGTACAAAAAAACTTTACGTCACCTTAGAATTTGTATTACAGGGTGGTTTTGTAATTCTGTTACTTTTGTTTGATAATACATTTTTGTAATCTCAGGTTGTTGTCATTGAATTATGTGTCAAATAGAAGTCCAATTTAAGATTCAGGTTCAATTCCATTCAAGTATTATGATTTTTCTTTTAAGTTTGTTGTACCCGGTTTCAAAAGTTACAGCGTTTCCGTTGGAATTTACAGAATTCAATTGCGGTATTTTATTTTAGTCTGAATGTGGTAATTGTGAGATAGCTAGATGAGTCCGTGCGGAATTGTTTTCTTTATTATTTTTTTATGTGCCCGAAGGTAAAGGTCATACCACTATATAAATAAAAATTAATGTCTGTCTGTCTGTCATTGTGGAATGGTTGGACCTATACCCGCAAAGGTTTCCGAGTTAGTAAAACACTTTTACGAAATACCCACGGGAACGGGAAAAACGGGAATTTACGTTTTTCGGTCAAAAAGAGACTTCACATTTAGAACATAGGTTTCTGGGAAAGTGTACTCCGAAAGAATTTCTCGAAGTTCCCACGAAAATGCCGAAAATTCCATGTTATGTATCTGAAAATGTTGATACCTGAGAACTACTCACGTAACCTCGTGAAATCGGAAGTTTGGGTTGGAAGAATGTTCTACTAAAATCCTCGAGAAGTTATGGGATATATTCGCTTCAATTTTCGGTGTGCAAATTTTCGTTCTTAATAACAATGACAGTATTCCCGAATATTTCCAAAAATATTGTAAAATTCGGTTGGAAATACTGACGCCTCACAACACTACCTACACTATGAACCGCAGTAAATCCAGATTTGTTAGGAAATGTTTCAAATGCTATGTGGTGGTCATGCAAGCTGCTAGAGTGTTAGTGCTTTAAAAAATGAACTACTACTGATGTTACGTTTGCAAACAAAAAAAGAAAGCGTACAAATGTCACAAAAAATCGATGCAATTTAATTACAAAAAAGTTACTTGTATGTAGGAAGAAATTGAGTGACGAGGTAATAAATGCTGAGGGCACAGAGGACCTTGTGTTAAACATACGGAACAACGAGAAGGTCTGTTTGAAATGCCATTCTCTTCCAGCCACTGGGACTGTAAGTGCAATCACCAATGATGTAATTATTCCAGAGATTCGAGTAAGATTAAGGCAGAAGAGTCAAAGAGTATATACTCTTGAACCCTTCAACGCCCCCTTAGTGGACTCACCTGCAAAGAAGTATAGCTCTGCTTTCTGCTAAACCGGAAACCCCTGTCATGGTGTTCGTTAACATGTCGATGTCTAAGTAATAAAATTCTCATCAGTGGTGCTTTGTCTTCCTCGCGTATCAAGTCTTCTTTGTATAGGTCTTCGCAAACTCGATACGCGATTCCGGGCAACTCCTTCTCTTCCATGTCCAAATTTACCAAACCTTCTTCTAAACACTTTCGCAAGTTCAAAAGCGAATGAAAACTCAAGGAAGCGACGTGCGGCTTGCCCCATCTATCCACACCCTCCTCCACGTCCTCTTCGTATTTAATCCATCGCGCCGTCTCCTTCCACTCGCGATCCTCATTACCGCCAAACAACTCGTCTAATTGCACGAAAATCTACAAAAGATCCGTGGTAACGGCGTTTAACAATTTTAAACTTATAACAAACCGCGTGTGGGCTATGGTCATACATTTTCTTCATAAGGGCTGCTTGGAAGTTATCCATTCCATCCTTTCTTCCGATGTGAACAATCGACGGTCTCGACGTCCTGTGTCGGCGTAAGGCTTTCGGGTCGTCGGAACGATGACTGTCCAATTGGTCACGGTCGGCTCCCTTGAGCCGTAAGTCCTCAGGTTGGGTGGAAACTCTGCGATTTTTCGGGTGCGCATTTGATTTTGTGGAGCTGTCTTGAAGCGAGTATTTTCGAGATTTTGAGTGTCGACTGTAACGAAACGGAACACATCATTTTGTTGACACACACGCAGTATTAGTAAATTGAAATGTTAATCAAAATCGTAACATAACGCAATGTCCAACGATTGAATTAAAAAGTGAAGAGGTGATTTTCCATTTGTGACTTACAAAATACACTGGACCAATGGCCATGTCCACAAACACATGGGATCCAGATAACAATTTAAAACCCCCTGAACACAAAATAAAACCGATTAAAAGAATTCGCAGCAGTTCAAGTCATCTTTAGGTGGACTGCAAATGCAACGAGTACTAAATTAAACCTCAGTTGTAACCACTGATAATAGAAATCAATGAACTTGACCTTGTTAACGTACAAAAATTATTCAATTACCTATTTGAAGATCGTTCAAGAAATCCGATCATCTCGGCAAACGCATTTTATGTTGTGCATGTGTAAATACACTATTAAGAAGCAATGCGGCTTTACGTTCGCGATTTGTATTTTTATATTGTACATAGTTTTCCAATTACGCTTTTATCGCAAAAATCGGTGCTTTCCTTAACCGAAAAAGGAAGAATTATTGCCGCAAATACGCAATAATTCGAGGGTGAAATTGGAATCAGCTATTTACCTACATGGCATCGATTATTATTAAAAATAGTCCTTCGAGCCGGATGAAAGTTTATCAGATGTGGATGGAAGCAAGAAAAATTAAAATCTGTGGCGTCGATCTAATAATCAATCATCGATCAATGTATAAGTAAACAACGAGCCTTCTAAGTAAGTAACCGTTCATCCACATCCCTTAAACGTAAATTCATTTCACTTTGTAACCTTTATGCTAATTTAAATTAAAAATTAGCTTTTGCTTGCTACCTGCCTTTTTGTCGTCGATTTGTTTACACAACTGTACCTATAATTTACGTTGTGATAGGTATTATTGTCGTCCATTTGTTCCGAAGTAAAAAAATCTTTCAATTACGTTATCAATAGGTAACCTAAGCTAAATTTTTAGCGCATTTTTGGTAACAAAAAGGAGCTTATCATTTCACTTTGTCCGGCTGGCTGGCTGGCTGGCTGGCTGGGTGGCTGGGCGGATTGAAAAACTTTTGATCTAGACATCGTAGAGAGGTCCGGTTTTTTGCATTATCTCCGTCTTGTCGAGTTATTGGCGCAATGGATATTCATTAAGCCCGTAGTGGTTGCGTTTAATTAGAATTTGCGAAATAACTAACGCCGCTTGAAAACTTGTCCGTGCGTATATCGATTTTAGGCCGATCCGATTGACGTAGAGGAATGGCTTTTTTATAAAATATACTTTTGGCATTGCCTAACTACGGTCACTAATATGACTTATCTAGGATAACTACTTCAAGGTGAAAACTAATCAAAATCATAACACGGTGATGAGTTTTACAGTTTGTGGTATAATTTTGGTTAAAATATCGTATCCAGGTCTGAGCGGTTTTTAGCGTAACACAACGAAGTTGAGGTAACGCTTATGTGCTCGTGTTTCCGTCTGTCCGTCCGCCCGTCCGTCCGTCCGTTCCATCGAGATCTCGGCCCCTGGGACACCTAGAGACTTCGGGTTTTCGCTAATTGATAGCTGCTATGGTCTATATTTGCCCATTTCAGACAGTTTTATTGCACTCTCTATTTTGCGCAGACTGCGCATTGCCAACTTTCTTATTTATGGAGATATTTCTTTGAAATTTTAACCACATATGCTTCTAGTAAAGGCAAACATTTCACACATAGTAAAAATTATGTAGACATGCGCAGTGACTGCGCAATGCGAACTTTCCTATTTACTGAGATTTTTCTTTGAAATTTTAACCACACATGCTTCTAGTAAAGGCAAACATTGCGCACATACTAAAAATTATGTGTGCGCATGCGCAGTCCCTGCGCAATGCCAACTTTCCTATTTATGGAGATATTTCTTTGAAATTGAACCACAGATGCTTCTAGTAAAGGCAAACATTTCGCAAATAGTAAAAATTATGTGTAGGCATGCGCAGTGACTGCGCAATGCCAACTTTCTTATTTATGGAGATATTTCTTTGAAATTTGAACCACTGATGCTCCTAGTAAAGGCAACAACTTGTTGATTGCAGCGTTATCGGAGATCGGGGATTTCATTGAGGCAACTGAAGACGTCTTGATTATGGGAGACTTTAATTTCCCATTAACTGTCGGAAATCGGGTAGAGAAATTTCTTCAAGAGAAATTCAATATAGTGATCATCTCTCCCCGAACAGTGACAACGAATGGCGGAACAATAATTGACGGAGTTTTTGGCAAAATGGTCAACTACACTGTTGATTGTTCGGTTTACGAGTCGTACTGTTCATACCATCGTCCAATTATTATTAGAGTTCGTGAAAATTAATAAAGAAATATATGTTTGCATAAACCTTATTTTATAATTAAAATTTTCTGATAAAATACTGATTGCTAATGCAATACTGATCCGTCACGCCAAAAATGCGCTGAAGTCTCATCGATGCACATACGAGGACTTTTGTAATTTTTTAATTTGTTCGTCGCGATAGCACAAAGCCTCAAGTGGCGTGCATTTCCATTCGTAATTTTCACCATTTCGTTTTGTACGTTCCTTTGTTTGGTTTTCGTTTTGTATAGCGCCCATTTCGTTTCGTAATCCAGTAAGGATTCTCTCATTAGAGAACGTGCCCAATTAAAAGCTTAACTAGATTTGAAACATTTCTCACAAAATTTAACACTAATGAGCTCCACATTGTGCCTCAAGCAAAAATCCTTCAAATTCAAAGTACTTCGTTATTGCCGGAATTTAATAGCGTTCAATCAAACATACATCGCTAAAGCCATTTGGCTGGCCGCTGCATAAATATATTCTCTGTCAACTTAAGACTTAATTTTTTTATCAATTTGCTACAAGAAGCAATTAAAACATGGAATATCTGGGAAACCGTTTGAAGCAGCCTTTGACATTTTGTATCAAATTAAAGGTCTCGGAAAAAGGAAAACAACACTGAAGAAAAAAATGGTGGGTACCATTTGAAAAAAATGGAGATAGAAATTTAGACGGTTACGCATACCCTAAGAAAATTCGATCTTTCCTTAATAAAGCAGTGGCAACTGTTTTGCAATATCTCTTACCGTTTTCGAATAATAACTTTTTAAAATTACCACTGATGCAAATTCAATTTTTGACATAAAAACTTGAATATCGACGAAGCTCTTGGAGGAAGTATCGTTGTACTCAAAATTCGACGTATAGAGTCCAAAAATGTAGATAAAATAGGGGGTTCCTATTTAAAGTAACAAAGTTGATGGCTACTTCCGGTATTTGCGGAAGTGGCACCATCTTGAAAACATTTTAGTTCAATTAATCACGTGCCAAAACCCTTAAGGGACTTATCAGTTTAGTTTCATTTTCAAAGGTTCTCCACATCCTTTTAATTAATTTGTTTAATGACAGAAGTAAACATATTTTTCATAATTAATTTGATTTACGTAAGTTATAAAATTGGAGCAATGAAACTCGAAACCTTTCCCATATAATTTTATTCATGATAAGTTAATGGCTACAGGCCATCATCAGGCGACTAAAAAGAGTTGACTTATAGTAAATTGAACACTTAAAGCGCTAAGTTACTATAAATTTATTAGGCAAGATGGAAAGTTAAATTACAACGCTTAAGACGAGTAAAGATAAAGGATAAAGGGTGAAACGCATTGTTTTTTATTTTTAACGGCCAGAGCCGGGTGCATTTAAGGCCGATTAAACCGGGGAGGTTATCCTAGTGTACAAGTCTTGTTGAGACAACTATCCGGAAGTTGAAGTTTTTTAACATTTGGGGTTTAAGTTGAAAACTTAACCTATAAATAAACAGAGTTAAAAATAAATGGTCTAAAGCTACTTTCATGTTCATGTCGGAAAAGGGGGAAAATGTATAAAACTTATAAAAGTGTTGAGATGACTACATATTTGTAAGATTACAATAAGAATTTAAAGTTCATGATCATGCAGAAGACATGTCTGGAAATAGTTAAAGAGGAAACTGACATATCGGCAAATTTTAAAAGGGAATTTATGTTATAGGGTGTGTTGAAATTATTATAAAAACAGAACTATTACAATAAATGCGAAGCGAAGGAGGATTTGGTGGAAGAGGAATTGATTTTTTGTACTACGTGGATTAAATCAACGTATTGTGTCGTCCAAAATGTCACTTTTTCACCCGGAGGGAGAAAAACGCGACGCGGGACAAAATGTGACACTACACACTGAATTGTCAAACACAATTTAATGATTAATGATTACCTTTATATGTACATTTTTATTTTTGTACCATATTTTACATTTATACCCTTTTCCATTCGAATTTGGGAGGGTGTAGGTTTCCTTACCTATAGCTTATTCTTTGGAATTTTAAACGATCATTTCTACGCTGTAGGTTTAAACCAGAGCTGGGCAGAATACTTTCAAAAAGTATGTGAATACTAAATAGTAAATACTTTACACTAACAAATCAAAGGTACTAAATACTTTTACGTCCAGCACAAGCGAATACTAGATACAGTTACATTGAAAAGAATTCAAATACTTTAAAAAATAAGTATTCAAATACTTTAGAATGTATTCGAATACTTTCAAAAGTATTCGAATACTTTGTAAAGTATTTCATTACCTTACTTTAAAAAGTATTCGAATACTTGTCACTCCAATATATACATTAAAAATTTAAAATAGTATACTACTTAAAAAATCAAGTTATACTTTGTATGGGGTTAGCTTTTCTTATATACATATCTATTGTTATATACAAATTTAAGGGGAGTAAAAGCGTAGTATTATTATTATTATTATTATTATACCAGGACCTTTCTTATACCAGTTACATCCTTAAGAATACGTGTACCAGTTTTCAAAGCGTCGCTCGTGCACATGATACGTTCGCCTTTCTGAAATTAATCCTAGCGATTTTGGAACAGATCCTTTATTGACCATCCGGCGTTTGTCCGTGAGCATGATAGTT